ACTTCACCGGGATTTTAACGAACAATAACAATGGGTAGCGACCGAGATCCCAATTGGCGCGGCGTGGGCCGGCAACTGGATCTGCCGCCACACCCCGAATGTTGGCATTTGTTACGGATGCTCATTCTCGATAACGCCAGCCAGAACCCGATTTAGCCCCCGTGTTGGTCCAGCGCATCTACCAAATGGCCCGCAGTAAGCACCCAGTATGTCACAAAAGCAGCCGCGTTCGAACAGTCTACAGAAAGGCATAAGCACACTGCAGCTAACTGGACGTCAAAGGTCAAAATTCCCTTACCTACCAGCGTCTTTTCATGGTCAAGGGGTATGCCCGCACCAGTGAAGACGAAGCCAAAGTCCACTGGCAGAACAAGTAAAAGTCCGATTAGTGTTTTTTAGGCGGTTGTCCGCCCTCTAAGACCACTGGTGGTCGACATCACGCACCGACGGGAGTCAATGGACGGTAACGGTAGGATGACGAATCCCACCTAACTGTCGGTAGACTGTGGATCGTGTCATACGGGGTTTTATCTTGGAATGCATTTGCTGGTCGTTTCATGCATTACACTGCCAACAGCAATTACTTCACATGACCTCAAACCATTACTCAGACGCTGATATTTTTTTGAAATTTGCTCTTTGTTATTTTTTTCTAAATTAAGGTGCTCATTTCCGTTACCATACGAAAGCGTACGATAAGATTTTCGGCAGGGACCTAAACAATTTCTGTGTTTTCTTGCATTTTGTCAACTTACTGTCTGACATGCTGCCCCGCCCGTAAAGTCCCCATCACTAACATTCCCATATGACAGGATTCACATTCCACCGACAGTTAAGTAAGGTCCCTCATCCTATCGTTGTCGAGTCAACTATTCGCTATCTAGCCATGCGACCTATAGGCGCTCCCCCACGAGAACAAACGACAAGCGTCATCCACTGGATCCAGTGTAACTCCAACGAGGGTAACTAAATTGGAAGCACTAACAAACTACTACAGATCCCCACTAGAGAAGACGCGACGGCAGTGAGGAGAGTGGGCCTGTTGTTTCTTTTCGCGAAACGCCGCGCACACTCTGGACACACATTCGTCTTCCAAAATACCCAAATCCTGAGTCCAGGAAATTACCGCAAGGCCAGGGAAACGATGGAGGCCTGACACACAGGGGCAGCCTCCATGAACCGTTGTATGGCCCTTCCTTTAGCTCAACTAGCGAGAGGACAGACGAAGATCTTGGTCAAGCCTGAAACCGTATACGGGAGAACCTATGCTGTGCATGCAGGTAGTCGCACCACAACCTGAATCTGACGAAAGTGCGGTTGTCACTACTTCCGAATCAATCACTACCCTAGAGGACGACGAAAACGACAGCCAAACAGACAGAATTGGCAGACCAGGGCGGCAACTAAGGTCAGTGCGGATGCTGACGACGAGCGCCAAGGTACGAACGCCTACCCCCGAGGAGGACGTGCAAACCTACAATATTGCAACGCCTTCCTTTCCCTTCCACCATGGTGACTGCGGAGATGGTTCCTGTGCGTATCCGGGCGATGAGCACTAAACTCCAAACGCCGCCTCCGCCCAATGGGGGCATGCGGATTTACGACTTCACGCATCCCTTTTCACCCGTCGCGTCGACTGAAGAAACAAACCAATTTTATTAATGCTGTGTTAGTGTGATCACGGCCCCTATAAATACCATGGAGTCACCACGATTCTCACACTTTAGGATGGGCGTTTGTTCAATTCTGAAACGTCCGAACAATACAAGCATGGTTCCTGGGATTGGGCATGGCTGGCTGATGAGGGCTAATAAGCCAGAAACGGCTATCGAGGTTTTCCTTGTCTTTGTCGGTACCCCCTTATCTTCGTATGCTTCTAGTCGCCATGCGGTTGTCCGACAGGGCCCTAGATTGTGCTCGAAGATGCAAGGAGCGATCGCCGGTCGGGTTAGGCGACCAGTCCAATCCAGAATCCCCACAGGCAGTCGCAAAATGACCCGTAATATATGCAGGAAAGAATAGAGACAAACACAGTGGAGACTGGGGTAGCCGTTTCAGGCTGCTGACGTCAATTTCGAATGTATAATCAACAGCTGAGCCGAAGACAATCCTCTTCCGCTGAATGATCGCACAAAATGTTTGAAGGACGTTTACCGATCGGGTTAGGGTATATGCTCGTCCCGTAGCCTGAACGTAGGTAATCGTACTTCCAATATATTTAGTAATCTTGACCGTAACCGACATCACAACGACAGCTTTGTATTTAGTAATGCTTCATGACCAAAGAACACGGGATCAGGTGCCACAAAAATCTGGACTTGGTTGGCGCCGGCGGACGACGGTTAATAGACTAGAAATGGCCGTCCCAGTCTCCCCTGCCTTTGTCGGTAATCTGCTTCAGCACAACCATGTAATGGCCACCCTGAAATTAACTATTATTACTAGTCGTGTCGGTAAGATATGGTTATGTGGCCCCACCTGATGGACGCATTACTGTTGGGGTTGGGGTTAGGAGTTAGGGTTTGGGGTTACGGTTAGGGGTTAGGGTTAAGGGTTAGGGAAACTTTTTTTCAGCCACTCAAAGTACAACCGCACATGTCCAATAGCTTTTCTTTTGCATCCAATTGCTTGACTTCGTTGCCTGTGCGTTCCCTGGCCCCATCTGTAACAACCCCTATTACGGATACAAGCGAAGATGCGAGTTCCAGGAACTAGTTGATCAGAGGAAGAAGAAGAAAAAAAAGAAGATGAAGAAGAAGAAGAAGAAGAAGAAGAAGAAGAAGAAGAAGAAGAAGAAGAAGAAGAAGAAGAAGAAGAAGAAGAAGCGATCGATTCTTCTTCTGCCCTCTAGTACTGCCGGTCCCGTATTACAGGTGGCTGCGGTTTGTTTACTTCAGGTGGGGCTACATAACCACATCTGACCGCCTTTGCCATTTTATACGACGCTGGTTTCACCATGGTGCATAGGGTTCATACCATTGCGAAACCTTATAATTTGCCTCGTGAAGAAGCAGAAATATTGAGGATATACGTGCCTGGGCTTTTTGGTGATACGTACGCTTGGTGTGTGGTGAAACGCTCGGCATATATACCATAAAAACATTTTAAGAGAATCCAATGTTTTAGATTGATGTTACTGAAATAGGTCGTATTTTTGAGGCCAGTAGCCAGGTAAGCTCCATTTATATTAAACTACCTTGTATAAGATTGCTGTGGTCAAGGCAAAGACTTATTGCCTACATGGCGCAAGCCTTAACAAGCGGAATTAAAATGGGTTAGTTTTTTTAGAAAAAAGTCAAGATTACCCGAGAGGTACCGTACAAGAATGACGTCCAATGATCTTCTAGCTCACGAACGTCCTGTATTATACTACTCCGTTTAAAAACACTTGAGATGCATTGGGATTAAACGGTTTAATGAAACAAAACCGAAGGCTTTATTGTGGAAATTTAAATATCTGACGTTTTTAATACACGTCGACTGCAGGGGGTGTTTCGTACATCGTTGGTCCCGGTCATTAGCCAATCATTATCGCAGCAGACGATTGGATTTTTGGTTTCCTTATGCTCTGCGTCTTTTCGTACGTCGTAAGTCATACATAATGTCAAAATATGCCTCTCCTCATCTAGAATTCGACCAAGCCTCTGCCTTCAAACGCGCACACCTAGCCTATATTGAAAATACGGAACTCGAACGGAAGGAAGTTGACAGATATGGTGACTACATTTATCACAGAAAGTCTGTACATCTTTGGTATGCTTGTATTTCCACCTCTTACGATTATAATTTGGCCAGTCCGCTGGGCACTGCTTTCGATTATCTGACTGGCAAATATGATTGGTAAAGTTTGGACAACAACGGATTCAAGACAGCTTTAGTTGGTCAGAAACATTATCTGTTTCATTTTTCGTCCTAAATAGTTCTGCATGTGCTTAACCAAGTCCAAGCCTGGTGACCACGTCGGTCGCACGCAGGGCTCGTATCCCTCGATGAAAAGCCGTTGTGATTGCGAACGACATTTTTGTCTCTTCACTATTGACAGGAGTTCATTTGCCCACGTTCACCTCACACGTGCACCGCCCCTCCATTAACCTAGACAACAGACTGGACAATTTGGTTGAGGACTTATTGTCAATTGTTCACCAAACTGGAATTCGCTCGTCACGATATCTCAAAACAAACCGCAACTGGTCGATCTAAACCAGCTGACTGCTGGGTGCCTTTCTGCGGACAAAATACGACTAAGGTGTACGCCCTGGGAATCTGCTTCTGAATCTGGAGCATTCATTCGCCGACCAAGTGTGCGCAACTGTATGTTGGGTGTGTTGCCCCGTGGGCCCAAACCACCCATGCGGTCTGCATGCTAATGAGTCATTTCCGGTATGAAGTTGAGTCAGTCCTGGTTGCCGCTGCCCTAAAACAAAAGAATACGATGACTGCGGCGCAGAGGCCTAAAGTGTGCGAAAATGTGGACGGAGTTAAATCAACCAGATTTTTTGGGGAGAGGTCATCTTAGCGGTATGTGTACTCGCACTTGTGTCTCTCCCTTCCCCCTCCCCCCTCAAATAACCGCGTCGGCCTGCTTTTTGTGTTTAAATCGATCAACTGACCGTCAGTGCTTCTAAACTGACTCCTATTCGAGATAGGCTCGGAGACAAAAGAACTTAAGTGACCCAGAGAGGAGACACAAATTTTGTTGTGTTGAGAGGTTAAGCTCGCACGTCCTTCCGCTGTTCAACATAGACAGACATATCGACGATGACCGAGTGATCTATCCACGTGAACTATTCAGTCCGCAGGGGAAGGGTAGCCCTATCAACAGAAATCGAACCCGCTTTCGGGACTTCTGGGCAGCAGGGAGCCAACCCATTATCGATCCACCCGCAACCACCTACGATGAAGGCGGAAGTCGTCGATTTTTATAGGTATGCGGTAGCATAGCAACCACATCTTATAAATACTGCAACACTACTGAAAGACATTACCCGTTATATGATTTTTCTTCGAATTATGGGTTTAATTGTGGATCCGAAAAGTCAGGCGGATAGAGTTCTTGCTTCAAGCATCGACCTCCCCTCTCCATTTTCACGGCTGCTTTCCGGAACTCGCCTCTTCAGTTCTATCGGCAGTTCAAATGACGTGCGTGCGAGCGCGACAGCATCAGGGGACAGGCCGTGGGCGCACACATATGCCTTCCCATGCTGTCTGCAATTTGAGTCCTGGCCCATGCACAGCACTAAAATTAGGCGTCAGCATAGGCAGTGCAGTAAACAGAGGCCTTCCAACTGACGAACCTTTTTTCCTGCCCATAAAAGAGCTTCAAAATAAGGGGCGGGGACAACGCTGAGAGCATTCCTTTGATGTTTCCTGAAGAGCCGCGCAGTATTTGTTTTTGTAAAAATTCCCATGGGCACACTGAGAGAAGTTGCCCACGTTTTTTTTCAGGCAAATATGCAAATGCTGAATGGGGCGGGGAAATAAATGGGGGCATTTTAAATCTCCGTGAAAAATCTCTGAGTTTGTTAAGCCAAAGGGGACAAAACGGTCCCTGTTGGATTCGTCGGCAGCAGCAAAACTCGCGGACAGTGATACTCCGTCTTTTATTGCTGCATTCCTAGCTGAAGACTCTGTTTTGCATCGACCATACTGCCGTTCCTTTGATTGGAGACCAGAGGACTACGTGTCTGCGTAAGCCGCCCGCTGCCTTGGCCAACGTCCTGCCGCTCCCTGCGAGCACCCTCAAATGCGCTGAAATTACTGTCCGATCGACTGGCACATGCAAACACGCGCGCGTCTAGACAGTCACCGCCAACGGAGCCCCGTATAGAGTAACAGATCGCTTGGAGATACGAACCCTGAGTCTGCCTACAAAAAAAGCAATAAAGAAGACGGATGGTACAGCCTCAATATCTCGCTGGCATGACTTCGACTGTTCGAACATATCAGGCGACGATGTTCGCCGTGTGTCCCACAACATGGCAGACGCGGGACGGCGAATTGCGCGTGAACCAGACAGAAACTAGGGGGCCCTTCGGACCCCATGTGAATAGGAACGGCAATATATGCCACGTTAGGAAGCAGCCATTACGGCCTGACTCTCTGTGCTGAAAGGACCGAGTTATCCCAGTCAGTTGGCAGCATTCCAAACCACGATTTTTGTGCGTGACTTTCGGTACTGTGGTTAACCTTATGCTGAGGAAGAGCCCCTCACTGAAAATAGTATAACGAAATAAACACGAGGAACCACAAATATTAGCCTCCATAAACGGGAATATATTCTGACGGCAAAGTCATCATCTTCCCGTTAACACATAAGTCCCCTTCAATAAGATTCTTAATCAACGTAAAAATCCCTATTTGTGACAGCAAATTTCATGCAATTGATAGAACGTAAGTAGAACGGAGAAGTAAATTGTAAGAGTTTTTACCTTTATAATTCGCAAGGGCCATTACCAAGTGAAATTTCGTAATGAGGGCTGGCTGTAGCATTGAAGGCGATGGCTGGGGTCCCACGAATGCATGGGGTATCAGAAATAAAAGCCGTCAAGGGCAGGGGTGGGTCTTGATCACACGATCTGGCGTCTGACATCCTTCAGGTCGTTGAGTTATTCAATTCACATATGCGTCTTTTTATAGACTTGGCCTGCCCAGTTGACAAACCACACTCTTCAAGGCCCAAACATCTTAGGTCGCAGACGGTCTGCAGCCGTCTCTGATGATGTGTTCGAGTGAGAATCCGAAAAGTCGGGCCAACAAGTTTCTTGTTCCAGTGATCGCATCTTCTTCTGTGCCCTCTGAATTGCTTCCCAGGACTGGCCTGTTCGCTTCTATCGGCTTTCCCTTTGTTGGAGCAAGAATGAGGCGTGCGAGGATCAACGCATTTAACATTTTCGCAAATAGGCAGAATGGTTTTATTCTTGTCTTTGTCGATAATACTATTCTGCCTATATCGTGCGCCGCTGTGCGGCTGCTGGTTGGGGTCGAGAGAGAGCCCGCGTGGAGACGAGTGAGTTCCGTAGAAACGATCGGCGAGCGCCCCCTACCATTTTCGCAAATCCTTATCATAGTAAAGAAGGATGAAGCCACACGAATTCCATTCCTAGATATCACATTTAAGTATGGAGAGTGAACATTTTACGCTGACGCGATCCTGAAAACAATAAACACTCAAGAACCCCACCTCTATGACAGTAACAATCTTCTGGCATTCGATCGCAGTTGTCTCCGAACACTGTTCACTCGAACCAACAAACTTGGCTATGATAACGAAGGCATCTGTGCCTCTTGTACTTCAGCAAAATGTGGCCCAGCAATCAAATAAGCTAGATATTGTACCGGAGAAGTTTATGTAGAGGTAAAAAGGTAGAACCAAGCCTCAGGCCATCCCCTATATCCAACATATCTCAGAAGCCAGCGCCGCCCATTAATACGTCCTGCCGCGCTAATTGCCTTGGTGATTATTGTACTGTGACTGACAAAGAACACGCAACATGACTGCACCAGCGTTTGATCAGGGCCGAAGACGAACGCTCACCCCCCTGCCAGGCGCATCTACGAATCGGTCCACTAATTTGCTCTTGGAAGTGCCTAAGTGTGCGAGATGAAATTAAGACTATCAGGACGATAGTTGAGAATTTACAAGCTGACGCCAGATCAAGAAAAGGACAAATCCGCCCACCTTCACGCCTGCAGAGCCGTCTGGCATCCTCTCAGTAAAGCGGGGAGAACAGGGACCCTGTGAGGACGCGTCCATCGCATTACTCCCGTCCAGAGAAGCCATCCAGCAGACGAAGGCTTTCGCGAACTACCAGTACTAACAGCACTTGCTGGTCTAACCAAGAAAAGATGAAATCAGGAATATCGTAAGCTCCATCCTGGAACGCCTGGTCGAGTCTGGACACCAGGTAGACGTTAACAACGATGTGCGGGTATTCAATCGAATGCCACATCACCTCACATAGCCGCTATGGTAATGGATCCTGGTGCTTGAGATGACAACGGTCACACAAATCGAGAATCCTGTCGTCGATGCTCACAAGATATTCGCCCATATTCGGCATGACTGGAAGCACGCCCATCCCACGACTCCATAAAATCAGTTGTTGGAACGGTGAGTAGGAATTATTGTGGAATATCTGAAGGAACCTGCTTCCTATCTATCAACATGTCGATAGCACGGGCGCTGACACCCACCGAAGCTAATAGTTCAAAGAGATCTGGTGAAAAGGAAGCATGTGAGCTCACGGATACTTTTTCGGTTGGATACCAGTGTCGCAACACTCCGTTACTGATGCTATTATTATTGCAGTTAGTTACCCATACTGTAAGCGTTGGTAGAGTAGCATTGGCAGCCGTGGTGGCGGTGGTAGTAGTAGTACTAATAGTAGGATTATTAGTAGTATTCGCCGTATCGGTGGTGGTAGACGGGGGAAACAGTTTTCTTCAGTGTTGCGACACTGTATTCCCGCCAGTGGTAGTAGTATTAGTAGTAACAGCGGTAGTAGTGGTAGTAGTAGCAGTAGTAGTGGTGGTGGTAGTAGTAGTATTAGTGGTAGTAGTAGTAGTAGTAGTAGTTGTTGTTGTTGTTGTTGTAGTAGTAGTAGTAGTCCGTCCGTAAGATAGGCTGGTGGGGGAATAGACAATTCTAAGTGTTGCGACACTGTATTCCCGCCACTTTTTCTATTCTAATCTGTACCTCTAAAAGCCTTGAGCTGAAGGTATGTTAGTGCCGAAACCAGCAGTGGAAGGTCGGAGAGCATTTATAGGTACTGTAAGCTTATGACTGGGGAAGAAAATTAAAGATCATTTACCGCTATAAAGATCTCGTCTATCAGAGAAATTCCACAGTACTTTTGGGAAGCACTCACAGTCAGGAGTTAACTTCCTCTGAATTCGTTCACTCAACGCCAGGCATTTCAATGGCCCTGGAAATGCGGGACTCATTTTAGTAAGCGAAATGATCAGACGAGCCCAAACTATCGAATCTGTCATTATCCTTGGTTGAGTAGAAATGTGTGGATGATCAGGTCTCGAGACCGAATAGACGCAATTTTTGTCTAAAACACTTTCATATTATCGCTCAGAAATTAATTGCGAACTTGGAGTAGATCAGTTTATACTAAGATCTATAGGCGCAGCCCGAAATTTGACGTATGAATATTTCGGTCGAAGTCCATCAGCCACAGCGAGATAGCCGCGTAATATTCATTAACTGTCGACGGTCGGCTAGTAGTATAGTTTAGGGTTACAATATACCATACTGGTAGCACAGGTGCTAGCCAATAGCCCATACACGCGTATTTCGCCGATATTCTGTCGCTGCATGGCACAGCTGCGGGGGATTTGGCTCATCAGTGGGTCTCCTAACATCCCCCGTCTGCTTTCTGGTGCCTTGTAACCCTGAAATATAATACTAGCGGTCTGTCGGCCAACTAATGAATATTAGGCGGTTATCCCGCTATGACTGACGGACTTCGGCTCAAATATTCATACATCAAATTTCCGGTTGCGCCTATGGACCCTAGTGTGTGCTGATCTACTCCAAGTCCGCAGTTAATTTCTGAGGAAGTTAAAGAGCAACAATTTCAAAACTGGAGTATCTACCAGAAGGCAGACGCAGAATGCTGGGGGATCCACTGATGAGCCGAACCCCTTGCAGCTGTGCTATGCAGCGGCATAATATAGGTAAAACACGTGTCTGGGCATTTAGCTAGTATCTGCGCAGCTAGTATGGTATGTTGGTACCCTAAAACACTTTCATGTGCCTACAAATCATGCATTGCTGATATGTCAAATAGCACTTAAATATCGTCTCGAATGCACTTTGCTTTCATATGAGGCATTTAAGCCCTACTTAGCTTAAAATGAAACAATGAGAGAAGTACGTTTGTGGCCTGACAAACTAGAGATGAATTGTCCTCAGTATATCATCGGTAATTTTAGCCCGTATGATGTGACGATATCAATAGGATTAAACCTAAAGCAATTACGCCTTCGGCGATGTGATTAAGTTGTCGGGCTTAAGGGACGCGTAATTAAGCCTGGGAAACTGCCTCAGGGGATTAGTGATGGAGCCCCCTCCTTGAGGTGTCTTCTGTCTGGCGTACGGGTCTAGGGGGAGGGGGTGAGGAAATTTACTGCTGATCGGCCTTCCTTCGTCATTTTGTGAGCTTCCTTTCCTTCCACGTCGCGCCTTTTCGTTGTCCACAACACTCGGATGACAGAGGCGCATAGAGCCTCAATTCAAATTGGTGCCAACGACCTATAAGCTCCGGCAAACTAAATTCACTTGTTTGTTTAGGGACGCAGCTCAGTTAGTGCTAAAGACTGACAGTTACCAAGATGGAGATTACTTGGCTCCCCCCTCCCAGCACTTCGGGAGCCAGTGAATAGAATCGATAAAAGCCGGGTGAACGCTTTGCTTTTAATTTAAAAAAATTTCTAAGAAATGGGAATAGGTATCCCACTGTATGACATGTTGTTCTGCACTAAAATCCAGGGATACCTATTCCCGTGACCCTAACCTCAGCCATAGACTTAACCCTAAACCTAGCCCCACCCCCCTGCAATTTAGTGCAAAGCCACCTGTACTATGGGGGGGTACTTATTTCAGTGTTCCACCACAAAATCTGCTGCGTTGACCGGAGGCGAACCACCGTGAACTGAGGGAGGTCCTGAGGCTGATCTGGGTGGGCGCATCGCCCACTGGCCCAGACCAATAATCCTTGGCGAATTTATGCAGCCCGAAGGCTGACTATACCAGGCCGAACAGGGAACTGTCATCTACCATAATAGTGTGTTAGCAACTCGGAGTCAGGGTTACGGGGCTGCAGTTAATTGCAGCGATCAGGTGCCACTGATTGCTCGTCACGTGCTAGACACTGACCCCCAAGCGGACTTCACTGGCGTGGGTATAGTGGTCCAGGGGGCACTGCAAAACATCTCCGGAATGAGGTGATCCTGATATTCTGATGATGACTCGACTAGCCATCGGGTCGATATCGCGCCCGCATATCAGGCGCTGTGTAGGCATTTGCAAAGAAGACAGGCGAGTAACTGACTACCCAGATGACAGGTAGGGCATAAATAAACAGATTTTTTCAGCCTCTGATGCTGAGATCCGACACATGACTGAAATGTCAGGGAGATTTAGCTGCATTCAGGGTAAACCCAGCTCTAATTTTTTGGCTGAATTAATTCCTGACAAACAGATCCCCCCTTTGGCCACCAAAGTGTTACTTATTGGAACGGGTTTTCTCCTCTGTGAGGATTACGACTCAGAATTACCAACCCGTACGCTGCCACCTCTATCCCTAAACTGAAAATTAACCCCAACCTTGAGTTTATTTGGGGGGAGGGGGATAGCAAAAAGAATCTGTCACCAAGCAGACCTCTCTAAGTGCTCCATGCTTTTTAGATTTCACACCCCGTCTCCCTCCCTCCCCCCTCCCCCTCCGAGAGTATCAAACATCAAAAAAATTGTCCACAAGGGCGTGGGGGTCTGGGATGACCACGTTCAGCCTGCCGATTGTCGTCTTTCAATCATGAGCAAATCCCATACCAAGGCCAACGGACCTTTGAACACAAATTCAGTCGACCTAAAATTCAACACAGTTTTCGAAGCCTAGACCAACAAACAAGTGTGAACCGAAGTTAAATCGTTGAATGCTGTTATTGCATGTCTTGGTCTAGGGCTCATGTTTGTTTTCATTTACAATTTTGAACGTTCATCATCACGTTTGGAGATATGACGAGTGCCTGGACTTTCTCTTTATCATTTAGTTGCCAAGCTCTTTAATGACAGCAGAAACTTATTGTTCATTTCCGAATGCTTTGTTGGGTTAAAGATATCTAAAAATGATACATTAATGGAGCATTTACCCCAGACGTTAGGTGTATTCGTGTTTCCGCGTTGTGGGGGAACGAAAACCAGATCTGGCGTCATCTGACTCCTGAAATTAATTTGAAATCCTGTCGTAAAAATCGACAAGCAAACCCACCAGCAAATGGCTCCGTCAGTAGGCGGAACTGGCTCCTTGATTAAAACAAAACATTTTGGTTTCAATCTGAGGGGTCCGTCGCGGGACTCGCGCTACTCGTTTAAATCCCCAATACTTATTACTTTCGGTCGAAAGTGCCTGGAAGATCCAACAAACCCGGATGAACGGAATACAAGTTTTTGTTTAAGTGGACTACCCTTTTGGAGGTGTTTATTCCTGGGTTTGTTTCGTCCGGAATAGCAGCAGATTTTTAAACTGTACTTTTCGATAAGGCGCGGGAATAGGAACTCCTGACCCCCGTAATACAGATGGCCTTAAGCTAAATTCCAGGAAGGGTATGTACTCCAATGTCCTAACTCTACCATTCGCGCTAAACCAAACCCTAAACGTTACCCCAATCCTAACCCCAGTCCAAACCTTGGCCCCAAGACCCAAAACTAGCATTAAACCCAACCCTTAACTTAACCCTACCAATATTTTCGGTGGAATTTAGCGCAAGGCCACTGGTACTACGTGGGTTTCCTTTCCCCATGCCCTACCCACTTTTTCAAACAAAATAAAGATTTTAATTTACTGGGAGGGGGAATTATTTCGTGCCGTCTTCTTTATGGTTATAAAAAACGCTTATTGAACGGTAACCATTATACATTATACTTTCTTATTCAAAGTATTATCCGTTGTTGGCAGCTATAACTTTTCCAATCATTTGGGAAACACATGGGTCTCGTCGCGGTGGAAAAACGATTGATCTATGAAACAATCCACTGATTAAGTCAACGTTTGGCTTTTTTAGTGGAACTGAAAGGCTGCTCGGCAGG